CTTTCTTTCTTTCTTTCTTTCTTTCTTTCTTTCTTTCTTTCTTTCTTCTTTTTGCTTTTGAAATAGATATGGCTTATATATGGGACATGAAAACAATATTCTCATGGGAAAATGTGGATACCTGGAGGAAACCTGTTAGTGCAGTTTCAGGGTGTGGGGAGCTCTTCAGGAATTTAGTTATAGGCATTTTGGCTGGGTGAGAAAGGGAAAGTTTTTTTTGTTGTTGTTTTTATTTGTTTGTTTGTTTTTTAAACATACTTTCTCAAGATGTCGGTCCAATTCTCTATATTCCTCATGGTCAAGTAATTTTATTACTGCAAATAACTCTGTATGGGATGTAGTTAGTCCTGTTGTGACTTGATGTGCCAGGGTGGGTTGGTACCCATGGGCTGCCACCTCTTCTCTGAGAAGAGAGGGAGGGGGTATGGGGGAAGGGGATTGTGAGGGATGGGACTAGGAGATGAGGGGGAGGGAGGTGACCAATCAGGCTGTAAAGTGAGCAAACAAACTAACAACAACAACAACAAAAAAGAAAGAAAGTAATGCTCTCTGTAAATAGAAAATATGAGAACTGTTCTAATATAAAGAAGATACCAGTGTAGATGACTATATTTTGAACATCGTTGGTTTTACTATTTAATTAAGATTATGTAACTAACAACCATCTGGACATCATCTAATGCCTGGTTCATTTGCTCAGTGTCTTGCAAAATCGGCATTCAGGACGTATTGGGTTGATTTTCCTCTTGATAAGCCGAGTCTTGAATGCGTAGCGCAGAATTAGGAAAGAATTGGTGTAGAGACAAGCAGCACGAGGCCTCGAGTGTTAACAGACCTCAGCACAGCAGATGGACTGCTGAGGTGCTCCCAGCATCCCAATGAGAACATTCGCATGCGCCCAGAAGGCTCTCTGGTGCACAGGTGCCCACAGCAGAGCCTTTAACGGCAGCTCCACATTTCCCGGGAGCCCCGACCTCAGAGAAGGCATCTTTCTCTGACCTTTATGGCATCAGATTTGACCTCAGGGTCAGTCAGTTCTTGCTTTACAGTGATAGAGTGCAGATTCGAAGCCTTCATTTTTCCTCAGTCAGTATCCACACCCATCTAAAGATCCAGATAGTATTTGCTCATATCCAGCGTCTCCAGAGGTGAAATCTTAACTCTGGAGTCATACCAAGCCAGAGTTGCAGCTGCCTGTTGGGGACTCAGGGCAGACGCAGAGGGCCACACCTGTGAGGGGGACACCTGTGAGGGGCACATTTTCCTTCCAACCTATACACAGTCACAGAGAATAATCGGGGCTTTCAAACACGGCATTTGCGGAAATCACACCTTTACTGTAGACGTGGGGAGGATCAGCAGTCTCAGGGAGACAAGGTTTGGTGAGAGCGTCTGCAACCCACTTGCCTCATTTCTCCAGAGAAGGCAACATTGTGAAGCGGCGATGCCAAGAACTGCAGCCCCAGAGGGAGGCTTCACCAAGGATTCTTCCTATACGACTATGTCCCAAGCTTCTTGGCTGAGCCTGTCCTTGCTTGAACTGTCATCAGTTTTCATGGACCAAGAGGGTCACAGACACCGTGTTTTGGAGAGTTCCCAGGGTGATTCTTTTATCCCATTTTCCAACTGAACCATCTTAAGGACGTTGACTTATTTAAGGCAGAGATAGAATTTGAGTCTGCAGTATATGCTACAGACAGAGCAACCTCGCCACTGCTCTCAGTGAAACTAGAGAGGACATGAGGTGACTTCGGCCTCTCTAGCTGTGAGCTTGTGGTTCTCTCCTACACACCAACCAGAAACCCTGGCTCTGTCCTTCCCGCAACTTCTTAGGGCATAGCTCAAGACCCACAAGATGATTTTTCCTGGCTTAAGAAAAAGGATGCCAGGCGAAAGTCTGCCAACACATAGGCAAATGCGTCTCTAGTTTGGGTTTTGTCCTCTGGCCTCACCTCCAGACATATTACAAAGCACAAGTGAGTGCCATTGTGGTTGCTGTGTATTGTTATTACTCAGAGGCAACTCTTTGCCAAGGTGGAGTGGCTCCATTTTACCACCATAGAAACAAAACAGGGGATTACAGAGTCAAAAGGGATGCGCCCAGAACAAACCCACCACTCAGCAGTTATGAGCACAGAGCAATAGAACATGAATGACATGTATTTTTGAACTTGCAGCCTATTTGGTGTGGAAATGCATGCTTTATATCCTAATGCTTGCATGTATATCTATTTTTTTAAAATGGCTTTTCAAGACAATGGTTTCAAGACAAGGGTATCCTTGGCTGTCCTGGAATTCGCTCTGTGGGCCAGAACTGGCCTTGAACTCTCACAGGTCTGCCTGCCTCTGCCTCCCGAGTGTTGGGATCAAAGGCGTGTGCCACCACTGAACGGCTGTATATTTTAATGAATTTCACCCCATACCCACACATAGGCTCCCATAATAGACTTTTACGTTTCTCCACATGTGTTTTCCTCAACCATAAGCTCCTTAGGCGGAGACCAGGCATCTAACTGATGTTTTATCCTGAGTCCCACCTATTGTTTGGCCAAAGCCCTTTCTTTTACAACCCAGGGTGGTTTTGCTTGGAAGAACCTATTTGTAATCTGTTTAAAATGTGTCACTGAAAGTGCGCCTCCGTTAAAAGTCATCATGCCCTGACTTTCCGGAACGTTTGATTAAAACTTTTTCTGAACTCAAGTATCAGGAGATAACGTTGGCGTTGGAAAGATTTCTTCTTCAGAGGCTGTTCTGGAAGACAGGGTGCTGCGTTCGTTCGCCCGCCTCCTGCCGTCGTGCGGCCTGTTAGCTTAGTTCATTGGAGGCTGGTGTTTGTCATCAGCTTCCGCCGTTGAGGTTGTACGCGGCGAACATAATTTTCTTTGACAGCCATGTAAATGGATGAACAGGTGGGGGTGTTTCAAGTGAGAACAGTCCTGGGCTTGTCAGGGAAGGGATTGTACAAGTTGAGGCACAGAAAGAAAGGACGAGAGTCGCTAACAAGAATTAAGGTTCTGCTGGGTGCGGTGGTCAGTTTCCCTATTAACAGCAGTCTAGAGGCTGAGGCAGGAGGATCATAAAGTTGGAGGTCAGCCTGGGATACATAGGCGATTGAGAGAGACAGAGAGGAAGGGAGGAAGACAGACAGACAGACAGACAGACAGACACACACACACACACACACACACACACACACACACACACA